TGCCTCCTCAGTGAACATCTTTCAATACTGATTATGCAGAGTCTGGATATGCTCTGTACACATGCCATAAGAAATATGCTTTTTATCTTGGGACCAAAAGAACTGAGAATTCTAATAATGTGATTGATCATCATGAAGAAGACTAGGAGAGAAAGAAACTAATGTCTTAAGGCAGCTAGAGATGAGTGGAGTAGAATAAGAGGAAGAGAATGACATTATGCTGTGGCTTCAAGAAGGATGGTGGAGTTTAAAACTCTATTTGTAAATTACAGTAAAAACAAGCACTGACAATGTCAAGAGAAAAAAAAAAAAAACAACAATGTAAAGAGGACGACCAATTCAGAAATTCCATAAAACACAAATGGAAAAAGCTTCTTTGGAGAGGGAGATGTGTATCATAGACAAGTAACAACTGTTTCAAAAGGAAAAATACCTGCTTAAAAAAAAAAAAGCAAAAAGCTCATAACTCATTTTAACAGTTATCAACAATCTGAGATGACAGGAAATAAACCAGACTAATTCACGTCACAGCAAGTGTAAAAATCCCAGAAGTTAATGATAAAACAATAAATTTGAAACATTTAACAGATGAAGAATGAACTTATAACCTTTTCTGCATTAACATTCACTATGGTATTTCCTATAGCTATAAATTCTTAAAAAAAAAAAGAAGTTAGACAAATATGACTTTATATATTCAATTATTTCTCATAAGCTACTTTCACCATCAGAAAATGTAAAATACTTTCAGTTATGGAACACAGTTCAAAACAAAATTTTCCAAATTTATTTCTGTACATAACAACTTCTTGCCTGTAAACAGTAAGAAAAAGATATCACATGATGCACAAAAATAGTACAGCTTGAACTCTTACCTCTGTCCCAGATTTAGAAATAAAACATCAATATACCAAAGGCCTGACTGCAACATTCAACCTTACTCTACCATTTTTCTAAGAGTCAACACTATCCTGACTAATAAAACTATCGTTTTACCTGTTCCTAACTTTATAAAAATGCAATTACACTATATTTATTCTTTTGTATTCTGCTTCTTTTTTCAAAGGTGTTTATAAGATTTATCCACGTTGTTCAGTGTAGCAATGATCTGTCAATTTACAATGTGGATAATATGACATTCTATGATTGGAATACTATTTGTCCATCCCATGTTTAAACTGTGATTAAACATTGGAATTACAGATGTTTACAATTTTGTTTAAATTGTGCTTATGACACATCATTTTCTGTTTTGCTTAGGACAGTATCTTCCACCACTTTTGAAGTACTCAAAGAAAAAGTGAAAATGCCTATGTTACTTCCTACGCACCCATCAACACACACACAGGGCCTAGACAGCTCATTGTCCCCTACTTCCCTCACATTTCTCTGCTTTCTTCCAAGTTGACTTGGAGTAAGGGAATAAACAGCTAGGATTATTACAACAGAAAATGGAAACAAACCTAGAAACTATGTTCTTTATCTGTAGAACTTTCGCTAAACTTGAATTTGTATTCTGGCCTCCTAATCCAGCCCGGAAATCTGAAAAAAGTAAACCAATGAAGAGCTTATTATGCTTTACAGTGATTCATCTCAGCACCAAAAATGTTACTCTGAAGTCTGAAGAGTAGTAAGTACTTTCCAATTCTTTCATGAATAGTCATAATGTTTCTAGCTCTATACATCTGAAAACATTTACAGTCCTATTTGAATTCACAAATGCTTCCGTTTACAAACAATTTGGTTCACAAACAAAAATTTTGATTTCATTTTTTAATTTGGGTGACAAACACAACTGCAGCTATATTTTTTTTTTGCCATTTTCTCCAAAATCATGGAACAAACTTAAGTTGATGAAGTGAGGTACCACTGTATTTTTCTCCCTAACTCTTCATTAACCGTGTATCTATAAAGCACTCCAAAAACTTCTGGGTAAAATTTTTTAACAGTTCTTCCTTTGTAGTTATTTTGCTCACCAAGATTGCCAACCTATAAGCATCATGACATGCCCTATTTTCAGTTCTCCAAGACCATAACAGGTCCGCTCTAACATACAAGTATAATAATTAGCTTCGTGCTGACCTGAAACTATTTTAACATTTGACAACAGCATATAGGGGATCATTTCAATATTAGACAAAAAAAATAAAGAACGTGATGTAGAACTCTACATATATTCTCTAAATCGGCTGGAGAGGCAGAGATGGATTTGTGGACAGGGTGATAAAACTTGCTTAGTAAATAAATCTGGCTGTTCCTTTTAGTATGATTTTTTAAAAAAGAAAAGTCAACCTTAAATTTCATTAAGAAATAAATAATATCAAAGAAGAAAGAGTTCTGCTCTATTCTATATCATGAAATGCTATCAGCAATTAATTTTTAGTTCTGAGCAACACACGTTTGCAGATTTTAAAAAAATTCTTAATTTTCACCAATATAAAATTAGAAAAAATAGTATCTTTTAAATGTCTATCAGTCAGAACACCATCTAGCAATGACAAAGATGCAAATACTTAATAAACTCCTGTGAATTGCTTGCTCATATTCTTTAGCTTCAAGTTATCTTCATCTTAAAAATTGGTGTCTGAAAGTTCTGGGTGCATAGCCTTACCAACCTGGTCCAACCTGATCCCATCTGAAAGTTCCTTATATCTTAAGGATGATGAGCTTTTCTCAGTATGTGTTACAAATACTTTCACCCAGTCTATCATTTAAACATAGCTTTTACTGGGAGTACTTTTCTACTTAACTTTTTAGAAACCCTTTATACATAGTCAATTTTGTATGAATTTTGCTATAACACATCATTTTGTTTTGCTTCACACAATTATCTTCCACCAGAAGATTCTACTTTTTCACTTTAGACCTATGGTTTGAAGTAGAGGCCCAACTTAATTTTCGATTCAGCTGAACATCACTATATCAATGCCACTTATTAGCCAATACTTTCCCTCTGAACTGATTGTCAGCTTTATCACTTTTAAAGTTACACAAACCACATATAATACATAAGATATATTCTTTTCTATTGTGTATTCTTGTGCCCATATCATGCTATTTTCACAGAAAAGGTTGTGGTAACTTTTAGTATATAAGACCCTTTCCCATTTTGCTTTTCTCAGTTTCTTTTTAATATATTCCCTTAGAAAGTACATTTTCAGGGGGCCTGCCATTTAGCTCAGTTGTTTAAAGTGCCTGGCTGGGCAAACCCAGTCAGGCACAGGGGACTGTGTTCCGATCCCCAGCTCCACATGCCACACCAGGCCCGCCCTTAAGGTAGGATGAGCAAGACAAAAAAAAAATCCTTCTGAAGAAAGCACTTTTTCCAGGCATAGATTTCAAGATGGAACTGGATAAAAGTTCCAAAATATACGTTATGTACATTTAAAAATGCAGTTAATTCATGTGATATGCAGAATTTCAATTATATTTCATATAGTGAAAAATAAAGGAATAGAAAATAATATATGGACAAATATCCTTGTGACGAAACACAAGTGGAGGAAATGAAAGCGTATGGCAGACAATGCAACATCTGAGAGAGGTGGAGGGAACTGAGGCACACAGAGCTAAAACAGAAAAGATTACTACGTGAGAATCTGATTAATTAAAATATAAAGCAAAAAGATCTATTAGCAGGGGATCAGAGACCAAAGAAGATGGAGTTTGCTAATATTCTACTTGTATAATTCTACTACACAGAGATGAAAAACTAACTTGATCATTCTATAGTGCTATGCCCTATACCTAACCTTCCATCTAGTCAAGAACATACAGAGCTCAACTGGTGTCACAGTTGTATAAATTACATGGCCTGCTTTTTGGGTTTTCAGATATAAACCTACCCACAAATACCAATAGAGAATATAAACATTCTATGCCTTCACCAGCACCAAAACCTCAACAGTGTGCTCTCCAATTCCCCACAAAAATACATTTGGGTCTACTGGCGATTACTGAGAGTAGGAATGTACCTAATCTTAAATTCAGCTCCGAGACCCACAAAATATACTAAGAGAAATAAATTCTCATATAAAACAGAACTAAGATTGCTGACAACCACAAAGTATGTATCACAACATACTCTATCAAAAACAATACAATTTGGAACAAGCTGATAATGAATAACAAAGGTGACCTATACCATTACATATCCAAGCATTGCTATATTTTTCTAAAATTAATCTAGAAGAGCCTAAGGACTTTTGAAACAAAGATCAATAAGGGTGCAGTAAAATGATAGGAAAGAACACAAATATTCTTTTGCGGGTATATTTCCATACAAAGAATAGCAGGAGAGAAGGATAAAGAAGAAACTGTACAAGCCATACTTATTTTCTCTTGACTTTTAAATCTGAAAACCTGTATGGGGTATGGGAAAGGTATAGAGAAAAAAGAAAAACAACTATAATGCCAGTGATTGTCATTAAGTGAACTGAGAAAAATAAACCTCCATTCATTAAATCAAGTTAAATGGAAAGCCACTGTGCATTCCTTCCTAGGTGACCTATTCATCCAAAAGAAGGGAAGGTAAATGTTGAGAAGAGACACAGCTCTGAAAACAGATAATTCTTTGTGACAAAGCAGCCTGAGACAAGAAAAATGAACAGAATCTTCCAGATGCCTTAAATTATACCCTCCTCCTCCCCCACACCACTACCAACATTACTACTAAAAATAACAATACTAACATGGAGCTTGTCTATTGTACAAATCACAATTCTGGGGGTTTTATAAAGTTATCTCTTAATCCTCTAAGCAATCCTAATGAGGTAAGTTAACTGTCTCCATTTTATAGATGCAGAAAATGAGGTTCAGAGAGGTTAGCTGAATGTCCTATAGTTAGTTGTATATTTAGGAAATATAAGATCCAGAACCCAAGAAGTCTGATCTAAAAGTTGTGATCTTAACTGTTATGTTATACTCCCTACCAAATTAATGTTAAACAACAGACCCACAAAATACATAGGACTCTATATGAACAATATATATTTACATACCTTGCACTGTAAGCTCTGCTTGAGTTTCAATTGTCTCATTTCCATTATCAGCTATACAAAAATAAGTCCCAGAATCATCCTCAGTGATATCATTGATCTCCAGGCTGCCACCTGCCAGCAAGACCAATCTTTCAGAGCTGCACAAAAAATATTGATACCTATGAGTATGAGCAAAATAATACCTGAGAACTCTTCATATTAAACAGAGAAACAATTCAACAGTATTACTATGGACACGGATACAAATGGACTGAGACTAACATAAAATTATTTAAACTTAATACCAATTTACTTTGCCTATATTTTCCATGACTATCACAAATACAAATCAAATTTTATAATGCATTCCAGCATTTCCAGTTATTCCCAAAAAGATATTACTTTTGTGACCAATTTCATTTCCCTTAGCCGATCCCTGTCTCCTTACTCCAGCCAGCTTTAGAAATTAGGTAATTTTGAAGCCCACCTCTGTCTCCCTACTCTTTCCTTTTTGTAAATCAGGTAATTTTGAAGCCTGGAACCCATCTAAGGCTTATTTTACCACAGCTATACCACACTGATTACTAAAAGAAAGAAAAATAACAAGGGTAAATGTCAAACCAGAAACAGTCAGTCATGAGATGACAATCTCCCATGGTAGCTTGGATAGGAAAGAGAGGAAATGAAGAAGAGAAGGCAATGAGTAGGACTGCTGTCAGAGACCAGCTCCCTGGGTGAGGCACTGGGCAGGAATCCCCCACCAAAATGCTATTATCAACAAATAATGTCAATGAATACTGATCTAACTCTATGAAGTGTTACATATATTTAATGAAACAATAATACTATAACATTGAAGAACAAATAACATCAATATTCTAAACAATTTTTATAAAGTAAGTTTAGAGAATTAAAAATTAAACCAACATACAAAGGTATTTGACAGGAAGTAATTCTACAAGTGCATAATTAAAGTTTCTACTTTATTTTTACTTTTTTTCCATAATTTTATTGAGAAACAAATAGCAATGAGACAGTTTCAAAGACAGTTTCAAAAATTAATACATTGCATATTGTTTTCTTAGTGGTTATTTGTTGTACAAGATGCAGATATGATATCCTATCTACAAACAGTATCCGAATATTTTTACTTTTTTATTTTTGGTATCAGGAATCAAATTCAGAAACTTGCACTTGCCAGGCAGGTGCTGTGCCACTGAGTTATATTCCCAACCAAAGCTGCTACTTTAATAGCCACTTTCACAGTAACCATAAATGCTAAATATGGTTAAAATAAAAAAGCAATACTAAATATATACATGTATATTTTAATTTAAAATGTATCTAAATTGGATTTCCATAAGCTAAGTTTTTCTCCCAAATCTTAATATTATTTACACACTATCTGTACCTATACTCAACAACAAAAAAAGTTTTGATTATAACTTTTTTTCATATATAACTAACTCCTGATGGGAGAAAATCAGAAGCAATAACTATGGGATATTTGCTACATTTATAATTTCATTCTAAGTAAATAAAGTATTGTTGTAGTTTAAACTTCAGTACATCAGGGTGGCCAAATAGCTCAGCGGATTAAAGGACCTGCAAGCAGGCACAGGGGCTAGAGGTTCGATCCCTGAGCCTGCAATGCCAGCTCCGCCCCCAAGGCACACGGAGGTGGTGACTGAGACTGGGCGTGGTAGCATGCACCTGTAATCCCAGCTCTTGGGAGGCTATAAACAGGCAGCGGATCACTATGAGTCTGAACTAGTAGTGAGACCCTGATCACCCTGTAAACCGTTCTCTAAAATACTAAAAATAAACTTCAGTACATTATTTGTCTAAGTCATGTCCAAGATTAAAATCTGGACAGAAAAAGCTGAAAACAAGAATCAGAATTACTGACTTCTCTAAGAAATACTATCTTGTAAGGTCATGATTAGTCATTTTATGAAGTGACTTTTCTATCTGAAATGTCTGCATTATACCTTCAAATTCCAACTTTATGTGATGAAACAGAGAAGCAAGATATCATATAATGAAACAGAGCAAGAATAATTGTGAAAAAGTAATAGAAATAAAATAGGGCCTTAGTGCCTCACAAAATATTTTTAAGATAAAAGCCTATACTTGGAAAAAATCACTACTAAGTCTAGGAAGAGAAAAACTGAATGTTCTCTGATCTAAGTGAGAAATCAACAGTGTACACACATGCTACCAGCTTTTCAAAGTGCAATAGTTTATCTAATAATTATCTTTAAAGCATTCCTGACAATGGCTAAGCCTGATACTTGGCATCGCTGAGTGCTGTACAGCAGCAACCTGAGGAGTCAATTTTACTCCCTTTAAAAGAAGCCTGGGAAGAAGTGTACATTTGCTTGGCAGAACTTATTTAACCTGTTTATGCTCACAGTAAAAAGACAAGTGTATAAGAGCTCCAATGCTGAAATATGCAGGGCAAAGGGACACTATGTAAAAAGTATGTGAGCTGAATGGCACAGAACAGCCGTGAGAAGTGTGGGTCTCTTAAGTACTCAGGGTTTACATGGCAGGTCTCCTGAATTATCCATAAAACTCAGAGTAATACTGTTGACCATTACATAGCCACATTAGACTTAAAAACCATCTGTCCTCAAAAATACCTGTGAAAAAACTTGGATGTTTTAGGAAGACATATGTTTTCTACTATGATTTGTATACCTATTCAGACCTCAGACTAAGAATCACTCTAAGAAAATAATTCTCTAACATTTGGTATAAAAATAGCAACTCTGGCCGCTGGAGGCCAACCCTGAGGATACCAACCAGTTCCTCAAACAATTAGGTCTACACCCAAACTGGCAGTTTGTTGATGTATATGGAATGGATCCTGAACTCCTTAGCATGGTACCAAGACCAGTCTGTGCAGTGTTACTTCTATTTCCTATTACAGAAAAGTATGAAGTATTCAGAACAGAAGAGGAGGAAAAAATAAAATCTCAGGGGCAAGATATTACATCATCAGTGTATTTCATGAAGCAAACCATCAGCAATGCCTGCGGAACAATTGGACTGATCCATGCTATTGCGAACAATAAAGACAAGATGCACTTTGAATCTGGATCAACCTTGAAAAAATTCCTGGAGGAGTCTGTGTCAATGAGCCCTGAAGAACGAGCCAGATACTTGGAGAACTATGACGCTATTCGAGTTACTCATGAGACCAGTGCCCACGAAGGTCAGACTGAGGCACCAAATACAGATGAAAAAGTAGACCTTCATTTTATTGCATTAGTTCATGTAGATGGGCATCTCTATGAATTAGATGGGCGGAAATCATTTCCAATTAACCATGGGAAAACTAGTGATGAGACTTTACTAGAGGATGCCATAGAAGTTTGCAAGAAGTTTATGGAACGTGATCCTGACAAATTAAGATTTAATGCAATTGCTCTTTCTGCTGTATAGATTGTCAATGGAAACACTAAATACTGTATTATTTACAACAGAAGTTAAATTTTCGCTGCCATACGCTAACCCAAAAATTTTGATATTTTCATTAACTTGACTGATTAAACTTAATGTGAATTTAAAAAAAATAAAAATAATAAAAATAAAAATAAAAATAGCAACTCCATCTCTACTTCTCCTGGCAACCCTGGAATGCTCTTTTTTTCTTCGGTTCATTTACTATAACTTGACAGTATTTTACTATTATCTAGTTCCTCCCAACTAGAATATAAGCCTTGCAAGAATAAAGTCTGTTTGGTTCATTACTCTATTCCCTGTACTTAGAACAGTTCCTGACACAGTGAACATTCAATAATTATTTCCCCAATCATTATTAAATAAGTGGAAATAATAGAAATCCTCATTTTTCTTATACAAAAATAATTTTATGGGTCAGGGCTAATTTTATGGCTCAGCAACATAACATCTGCCTAGAAAGCACAAGGTAGTGAGTTCAATTCCTGATACACAAAAACAAAAGAAAGAAAAATAATTTTATTTACATCTTAATTATGTATTCAGAATATCCTCCTAAGATGGCAAAATTTCAAAGATTTTTGTTTCATTTGGTATCAAGAACTGAACTCAGGATATTGTGCCTGCCAGGCACACAATGTGCCACTGAGGTATATCCCTGCCCCTCCCCCTTCTTGTACTGGGAATTGAACTCAGGCACTTGTGTTGCTGAACTATAATCCCTGGCCCAGTGTCAAGGTTTTTAAAAAATCTATTCAAAGCTTTCTTTGTAAAGACTTTATTCTAACATGCAGCCAATAAAAACTTCTGCTCTAGGAGGCTGAAATTCTTTATCTCTTCTTTTAAGGCACACCATGTTTCTTCTAGCAAAAAAGAAATTAAGTTGCACTGCTATTTATTTTACTTGTTTTTTACTGGCTACGCAGACTAGTAGGGATTATGTTGGTAGATTTGTATATACACCTACTTTGAACATTTTCACTTTGATTTCTATTTATTTATTTATTTATTTATTTATTTATTTTGTGGTACTGGGGATCGAAGTTGGGACCTTGCATATGCCAGGCTGGGGCTTATGCCACTGAGCTGTGTCCCTCACCCAGCAAAGGTGTTTTTAAAAAGTAATTCCTTGGGGCTGGTGAGATGGCTCAGTGGTCTAAAGCACCTACTTACAACAAGCTAAGCAAAAGCACTGTGACCATGGTTCAATCCCCAGCACCACATGCCAGCCAGCCCCGCCCCCTGGCGGGCTGAGCTGGCCACACACACACACAATAAATAAATAAAAAAAAAAAAAAAAAAAACTCTTCTTTAAAAAAAAAAAAAAAAAAAGTAATTCCTTGAAGTTTAATAAATTCCCTGCATAATAATTAGCTGGTAAGAAAAGAAAATGAAAGATAGGAAGCAAAATGGGGACAGAAGTTTGTGAACGATGTGTATTGAGAAAGAACTCAGGTGATTTGGGAGTGATTCCATCATTTACACTACCGGAACATGTAGGACCAATCACATGGTACTGCATCATCCTCACTGATCACTGAAAGTTGATCACCTGGCCAACAAGACCACTGGCTACTGAACTATACAAATCAAGACTGTATGCTCTCTTTTAATTACCTTAGAGGAAATGCTAGATCTGCTCTGTCCAATAGCCATTAACCACATGGGGCTAATAAAAATTGCTGTACGTGGCCAGTATCACAAGGAACTAAGTGTATTTAATTTTCATTTCCATGTACAAGCTGAAGCAGGTGTAAAATTATGTTTCAATCTAACCAGTATATCACACAAAATATTTGTTGTATTCAACAGTGCATGCACAATTCTAATTGTTTTTAGTACTGGCACTAGAAAATTCCAACTTATTAAAGTAGCTTGTATTATATTTTCATTGGACAGCACTGCTCTACAAGAATGATCCTTCACTGGGAGTAATTTTGCCTCACTCTTGTCTTCAAAAGTTAGAAGTACTTTTGACATCTGTTGGGTAGAGGCCAGAAATCCCAGTAAATATCCTACAATGCACAAGATAACTTTGTTTTAAAAACAAAAACATACCTACCTACTGCCACCCCCATTACCATTCCAGTTCATTTATGAGACTACAATTCAGAAAAGTATTCATCCATAAGAAAGAAATGGGGGAGGTGAGATATGATGCAGAACTGAAAGATGAAATGATTTAATAAGGCAAGAACAAAAGGATGAAAAATACATCTGCTTATACTATTTGAGCAGAGGAAAAAAAACACATCAAATTGCATGCAAAAATCAGAACAGACTCAGACTAGTCAGGACTGGAAGCTCTTGCAATAACTGAGGGAAGGAGATTCTGAAACCTTAGGCTAAGTATACTGCAGAAAGAATAAACTAAATGATTATCCTTTATCATTTTGAAAGTGTTTTTTCTTTACAAACCCAAACCATGTATAACAATAACAAATATATTGCAAGGATGACATATGATCATTTCAATGTGCTTAGACCACCACTTTCTAGTAGTCAATAGTCCCAAACAGGAATAGAAAAAGTCTTAAGCTAAGACTGAAAAAGCCCTTTCAGTAGAGAACAGTTACCTTTCTGTGTCAAGCGCCTCCTCATTTTTCATCCATCTAATGGCTGGAGCAGGAAGTCCTGAAGCAACACATGGCAACACTGCACTCTGACCAATGATTCTGACTAAGGAAGAAGGCTGTTTCAAAAACACTAAGTTTGGTGTTTCCTCTAGATCTAAGAAGAATTTAAATGAAAAACAAAGATTAAAAAACAAAGCAGTTTATTAATTAAATCATGAGAACCTGCTAATTCCTACTCAGTCTGTGTGGCCTAAGTAACACAAGAAAATTCCATTTAAATTAGCAAATACTTCTCAAGTAATTTCTTTATGCAAAGCACTATATTTATAATAAATTACAATTCCTGTTTTCTGGGTGCTTATTACTGGTCAAGTGAAGGAAATTTGATATCAATGTTCACCACTTTACAAGATAATATAAATGGCACTTTATGGCACAAACAGTGGAAAGACACACAAGTCCACTCACAGAGAAATAAAAGTTTTCCTTTCCTTCCCCCTATTTTTATGTCATTTATGAAAATCTTTCTGGATCTCATCTCTTTAGTCTGTCAATCTTTTGATTTCATAATGCAGCAACCATCTAGCTTTCCATTGCATTTCTGCATCTTGTATTCAGATATTAGAATTAATACGTGTTTATTTCATAAAGATGTCCTTTTTGTGAGCACAGGAAAAACGCACGCTCTTATAGATAAAAGTTCTCTATAATAACATATTTACTCAATGTTGTCTCTTGAGAAAAAGGAGGCCATTCACAGACAGAGAACTGCAACTCATCTCTCCACACACTTAAGGAAAGATATTACATAGCCACAATAACCATCAGAACTGGCTTTAAATTTGCCTACCCAATTAATGATAGTTCCGTAGCCATGGTAACAAGTAAATAGCACCTAACAGATTAGTGACAACTCATTTCAGTGAATGTATCTCTGAAATCCAACCATTAAGTGACAGCTCAGTCTTTAAAAATCAGCTAATCATGCAGCCTGTTAACTCAGTGGGTTAAGAGTGTGGCGCTAATAAAAGGCCAATCAACAGCAGAGTTGCTCACATTTAAGGCGGACACTAATCTGCTCTTACCTCTGTAACCACCAAAAAAACACACTTCTGTGACTGATATCAACTTGCTTTGCCTTTTATCACAATCCAAAGCAATGTCCTCTCAAAAACTCTACAGCAGAATTTGAAAAGGAATATGGAAAAAAAAAAAAAAATCAAGCATCCAGCAGTAGGAACTGAAGCTGAAAGATCAGGAAACATCAAAAGGCTAGAGGTACTATATAAGCTACAAGTAAAAGGAAGTTATTAAGTATTGAGAGGAAAAAAAAAAAAAAACACAAAGTCAATTATAAGAAAGGCCAATAGGAACAGAAAGAAAAAGAATGAAAGAGAAGCTGAGTTTACATTAAAATAGGAAGGACTATGGAAATCCAAGCACTCCAGAGTTGCAATTACCAGTTACTACCTGATTCATACCTTTTTTATTTATTTATTTATTTATTTATTTTTTGTACAAGGGACTGAACTCAGGACCTTGTGTTGGCCAAGCAGGCACTGATACCGCTGAGCTATCTCCCTGGCCTTATAAAATTAGCCTGAGTGAGAGAATGCAATGGAAGATAAATGCTTGACAAAAAATGGATGTTTTTTGATCAAGAAGAACATCATCTGATACTGAATATACTTCAATACTTGATAAAATGTGAACAATATATTCATTAAAGAGCAGGCTATTCTGGCATACTTTCTTTTTATCCTTTTAAAAAGCTAAGTTTCTTTATGTTGACAAGAAAATGTCAAATCAAACATCAAATGCTTATTTTAAAAAATTTTAATAATTGTTACTCATTAATAAACACAAAAGCATCAGTTCATACCTGGAAGAACCTTCAGTTCAGCTTCATCACTGTACTTTGGTGGCCCACCACTTTCAACTATGCAGCGATACAGTCCCCCATCTCCTTCGGTCACATTGCTGATCACCAGTGTCCCACTTGGAAGCCTGATAATTCTATCATTCAGAAGCAGAGGCTGCCTGTTTTGTTCCCACCTCACAAATGGAACCAAGTCTGCATTAACTTCACAATTTAGAACTGCACTGTTCCCCACATACACAGAAGAAGGTTCTGGCTGGCTGGTAAATCTTGGAAGACCTGGACAATAAGAGAAAACAAGGGGGAAAAGAGTCAGTAAATATTACTTTAAAATGTAGTCATGGGCCAGAAGCAAGTCAACTCATGAGCCACAACATGTGGTGAATCAGGGTTGAGAAGGTCCATGGGCTAGGAAATTTGCTACATACAGGGCTACAGAATAAGTAAGTGTACTAAGGATAATTACAGTCAGATTCCTCATAGTTGAAAAACTAAGGTGTAAATATGAAAAAATTCCATGGTACTGGCCTACAATGAGGGTATTAGTGTACAGTTTTATACAATTGTACATCTATAAATATATAGATGTAAAAGAAAAGTGAGATACGCATATAGTTGATAAATACCCAGTCCTTAGATATTAATACATATATATTAATATATATGTATTATATATATTAATACATACACACACACACACACACCCATACATTACCTAGCCCCAGGTCCAGAATCAGCATCATTCTAATGACAATACATACATATTCTGACTTTATTTTGATTTCTAAATGCCAATCATCCATTACAACTAGCCAGAACTTCTTGCAGAAATGGCTGATTCTAGGAATGGAATATGCAAAAAAAAAAAAAAAAAGATAAACCATTTTTTTTTAACTATGTTCTTCAGGTGATGAGTTTTATGCCATAATGTATGGAACTGTCTGAAGTCTGAAGAACAATGGATATGTTTTTTTTTAAAAAGAAGAAAAACGTGGACCCAAGAATGAAGGGAGTTTCTTCTGGTAAACCTGGAATAATGGCATTTCTACATGATAACTCACCAAAAAAGAATCTGTTTATATTGACATTAACAAATAAGTGGAGGAAAAGGAAAATATCTACCTTGCAGAAATGAACGAATTAGAAAAATAACCATTTGGTTAACAATATAATAATAACTTATTCAAGCAAAAATCTTCAATGGATGGCAAAACTAATAGGTAAAAATTTACTAACACATTCCCGTCAGCTTATACCACCAATAATGTGTGTAACTGTTCCAGGACATGGCATACAATGGGATGGACAGTCATGCCTGTGCCACCAGTAGTTCAGAGCCTCTGGGCAGTGATGCATATGATGGCCCCTGCATTTACAAAATATCAAAGTATGTCTTCCCAAAATACTACTAGTTAACAACTAGGGAGAAACAGTTCATACACCATCTTAATCAGGTAAAATACTGTAAACATTTATATCATCAGCAATGAAACAAAGTATCACAGGCTACCTGGCATAATGTACTGAGAACTGCAGCATTACTTTTCCATTATTCTGCCTGGAAAAGCAAACTGCATCTCTCTATAGGGGACAATCAAATAAACTGAAGAGGAGACAATGAAAACTTGGAGGCCTATTGTATATCAAAAGAGTATAATGAAAAAACTAAGTAACACATGTAACCCAAGACCAAAAAGAAAAGGGGAGAGACTGTGAAGTCTTTGCCTTTGATTTTGCTGTTAAAGCATTAGGTAATGTATGAAATCTAAATTAAATGATTTAATTAGTACTGTACTAAGATTAATTCCCTGATTTTGGTAGATACCTGTTGTTACTGAGACTATCCTTATTTTAAGATCTGTACACTGACATGTTTAAGTAGGGGTGACAAGGCAACATGTATACAACTTACTATACTGAATGGTTTAGAAAAAGTACTTGGACAACGATGAAGCAGATGGTAAAATGTAAACAACTGAGTGATCCGTGTGAAGATATATGAGAGTTTTTTATTCTCTTCTTGGAACTATTCTCTAAGCTTAAAGTTAGTGCACTGCAAAATAAAATGCTGTGATCATAAGTACTACACAGACATCATAAAATGTGGTTAGCTCCACATGTCAATTCTAGAGTCACATGCCTGAAGGTGAATTTAACTCTACCTTTCCTGGCTCTATGACGCGGCAAACTACTTACCTTTCTCACCTCAGTTCTCTATCAGTAAACTGAGAACTATAAAAAGTTTCATATGGTTATCTAAAAAATTAAGTATCGGGGCTGGGGAGATGGCTTAGTGGAATAAGTGCTTGCCTGGCAAGTGCAGGGGCCTGAGTTTAATCCCTGGTTCCACCCCCCCGCTAAAAAAAAAAAAAAAAAAAAAAGTTCTTGCATAAAAAATTAAGTATCTAACATAAAAAATTCATATATAGGGGCTGGGAAGATGGCTCAGTGGAATAAGCGCTTCCCTGGCAAACACAAGGGCCTGAGTTCAATCCCCGGTTCCGCTAAATAAATAAATAAATAAATAAATAAATAAATAAATAAATAAATTCATATATAGCAATTGTTTGGTATCTAAATTACTGAATTAGCTACTGTTTTGGGGGGGGTTGTTTTGTTTTGTTTTTTGCACTACCGGAGATTGAACTCAGGACCCCACGTTTGCCAGGCAAGCACTTATTCTACTAAGCTATCTCCCCGGCCCCTAGCTACTGTTGTTATTAACAATATCTAAGAAGTGATTCAGCTCTGTTCAGAACACAATAAAACTTTTAAATTAAAACAAAAATTTTGTAAGTACATGTAAACAAATATTTTTTAAAGACTAGAAAGGAAATTATGAGAAAAAATTCCAGGTTTCAGAATATTATGATGGTTAATTAGTCCAAATGGTTAATATAAATAACACACAGGTTTTCTAACTCTGCTACAAACTTTTTCCTTATTTTTTATTTCAAGGTGAATCTTGAATGAAAGAAAATAATCCAAATACCTACTTTTGAAAAACCAGAAAATCAAAAAAAGATTAACATGAAGCATAAAAATCTAATAAAGCTGAAGGAAAAGAAAGCTTAAATAAAATGAAGAATTGGTTCTATTTTTTTAATGATCAAAACATTTCCTCTTAAGATCTCATGAAAATGAGTAATTTTTTAAAATGTAAAACCTGGGAAGCTTGTAGGTTAGCTCAGCTGTTTAAGCTCCTGCTCTGGCAAACCCAGTCAGGTGCAGGGGACCAAGGTTCAATTCCCAGACCCAGAGCAGCCCTTAAGGCAGCCTGAGCCAGCCAAAAAAAAGGAAAACCACAACAAAAAATGGGAAATTAGAAAGCAAGATATTTGGGGAATTAGCAAACAAAAAGTTTATGAATAGAGAAAGCAGATGGAAGAACTAGCAACTGTCATATCCAGGCAGAGAAGACGGCGGCTTCTTGTGCTCACAAGAAGGAAGCTGGCTGTCCTGCTGCCTCTGGAGAACAGCAAGAGGAAAAAGGGAGTGGGAGTGGGATATGGAGTTGGTATTTAGACCAACTCTGTCCTCCCCACTGAATTGGGGGAATAGCCAGACTATTCTCCAGACAAGAAACCAGGGAGAAAAGGAAAGGAAAAAGGAAAAAGGAAAAATGAAAGGAAAGAAGAAAAGCTGCCTCATACTTATTTCTGTAGGCTATATGATTAATGTTCTTTCAAAACTTTCCCTGCTTCCTGGACTTGGTCTCAATCTGCTTCTGTTTACAACCAGATATCTAAAATTCTTTTTGAATGGCATGGCATTATCATTTTTTGGTATAGTTGGTTGGTTTTTCTTTGCAGAACCGGGGACTGAACTCAGGCCCTTGCAAGTTGGTTTTTTGGGGGACAGGGTCTCATTATGTAGTTCAGACTGGCCTTGAACTCCTGAAGATCCTCCTGCCTCAGCCTCCTGAGTGCTGGGATTACAGGGATGCACCAGTTGGCAATATCTTTTTTTCCCAAAAAAAAAAAAAAAGCTTTATTGAGATATAATTCATGTCATAATAAAGTTCAACATTTAAAGCATACAACTTAATGATTTTTTACTATATGAACAGTGTTGTACAACTATCCCAACTACCTAATTTCAGAACCTTTTTATCATCCTCCAAAGAAACCTTGCTCCTCATTTCCTATATTAGCCCTAATCCCAGGTCTGTAGCCCTACAGAACCACTTAACCTACTTTTCTATCTCTACAGATATACCTATTCTGAAGATTGTTTATGACTGCTTTAACTTTTCCCCAGCTCATTTCATGTTGTCATAAAGACTTCATTCCTTTTTACTGCTAAGAATATTTCACTGATGAATATACCATGTTTTGATTATACATCATTTGGTAGACAAGGTATTTCCACTTGTTATCAGTCATGTACAAACTGTTATGTGGATATTTCTCCTCATTTCTCTTGGGCAGATACCTGGGGTAGAACTGCTGAGTCATATTTTAACTCTGTAGGAAAGGACAAATTAGTACATTTTAAACCTCTTCCACACACACACAAAGGGTATCCAGCAATCCCAATTCTAGTACTGTATCTTACAGAAACAAAAATTTGCAGAAAGTATTTCAAGATAGCTACAATGCACTCTGTAACTGTTAAATAGCACTTTATACATCTCTTAGCTTAAATGCTACTTCTTCTGGGTAATCAAGCCAAGAGTGGGTTATATAACTCTCCTATAAAACTCTTTGTAATTACAGAAGTGTAGTCCCTTGTATTACAACTGCCTCTTTTACTAAGACAGTCGAAAAACCTACCTAAAGAACATGAGAGTGAAATAAAGCACAAACAAGCCTAATGAAAAAGAGAAAGAGGGCTGGTGAGATGGCTCAGTGGTCTAAAGCACCTACTTAGAACAAGCTTACAAAGCACAGGGACCGCGGTTCAATCCCCCAGCACCACATGCCAGCCAGCCCTGCCCCCTGGTGGGCTGAGCTGGCCACACACACACACACACACATAAATAAATAAAATTTTAAAAAAAAAGAAAAAGAGAAAGAGAGATAGAGATAGAGGAAAGAAGTAATGGAAATCAATGACAGAGAACACATAACACATTGCTGAAACTGGTGAGGGTAGTGATGATGGGAGTAAGGGCTCAAACGGTAAGAAATGAGACTGAAGACGTGGGCATAAGCTCACAAAAGGAATTAAAAGGCTGGTTAACGAGCTTATTAGGTTGAGAGTATTACTAGAGAACCAATAAACCACTGAAGGGTAAGAAAGAGTACTCTGACCAGTGTGTAGACTAGATAGAAGGGAAGAATGAAGTGGCAGACAGAAAGGGTAGAGCTTACATGAAGAAGCCACAAATAGAAACTCAGAAAAGAAACATTTAAGAACATCATGATAAACAGAAGCCTGGCCTAAATGCTATTAAAAGAGGAAGTCATTATACTAATTTATATATCAGACATATTGGAGAAGTCATAGCAGACAGACACAGGGAGGGAGGAAATGAAGGTAGGAAGGAATAAGGTAAGAAAGAAGAAAAATCTGCCAAAATATTTAGGTTTTTTTTTCTTTATTTTAAGTTTCACAAAACCCTACTAAATGGTTTTCCTAGGTAGGCTAAAAGCCATCAAACCTCATTTAAATTTCCTGTTTACCTTCTTCTGCCATAGGGTAAAAAAAACAAGGTTAAAAGTTGCTCGGTACCTCTGACAGCAACTTTTAAGCCTTCAGACAAGTGAGGAAGTGCTATGCTAGTTTATTCCATACAGTACTGAGCAAGCCCTAGCAAAGGTTGATATATGCAGTATATGCAATAGACATGTTAATGATTTGCTGTCACCAATTAAATGAAAACTCCAAAATAATACTACCTTTTTCTGTGTACGGTATTAGGGACTGAAGAAGGCAGAAACTCACACATGCTAGGCATGTGTTATACCACTGAGCCACAATCCTACTCCCTTTTAAGACAGATTCTTTCTAAATTACCTCATTTGGCCTCAAACTTGCAATATTCCTGCCTTAGTTTCCTGAATAGCTAGGATTAGAGGTCTGTGCCATTATTGCTGTGTCATAATACTGCTTTTATTTTTCCTTCCAGATTTACCCATGATAAAAATTGAAAAAGCAAATAAATCACTTAACAAAACTTACCTGCTACTGTGAGCTTGGCTGTTCTACTAACGATAGTCCCAAGACTATCAACAGTGGCCACACACTGATAGTAACCTTCATCAGGTTTATTGTGTTTAGAATGCACGACACTGCTAATAAATAAAGATCCATCTGGGAGAAGTTGGCGTCGATCATCTGATACTAAGTTTAAGAAAGTTCCATCTTTTTTCCATTCAATTTTTGGAGAAGGTTCAGAATATGCTGAACAGTTTAATACAACAGAAGAGCCTCGAACTGAGAGTGTATCCACTGGCTCCACCAGAAAATAAAATGGAGTGAATGTTTGAACACTGGCACCTACAAAGAAAAAAAACAAAATTAAGCAAAACATCCTTCTCCTATTTCTTTAAGAAAAGAAGTCCAAAAATGATTCTCAAGTGATTATGCTCTTTGGGTTAGACAAATAAATATGTATAACCATCTTACTATGAAAGGCTAATGAAACTTACTTCTTACTAAGAAACCAAAACTTGACTCATTTAGCATACACACACACCCACACACACACACACACACACACACACACACTCACACATATACAGTTTATAAGAGATCATCTTGTTATAGTATCTAATGTAAGTTTTCATTCAAACCTCACAATTGGACTTAGAAATATTAAAACTACTGTACTCAAAGAAAAATTTTCTATGGAACAAACAGACAGAATTCAAATAACCTTTTGTTCATAAAAGTATTTTTTTAATGTCAATTGGCTGTCTGTATTCTGTTCATAAATTCACTACTGCATACATTTTACCCATTTTCCTCATGAATTGACTAGTCATCCCACTGACTTTGATCTTTGGTCTTTTTTTGGTCATTGTTATTATGTTATGCAAGTGACATTTTTCATTTTATTTTATAATTTTTGTTGTAATAAAATTAAATTTTTTTTTGTTCTTTCTTTCTTTCTTTCTTTCTTTCTTTCTTTCTTTCTTTCTTTCTTTCTTTCTTTCTTTCTTTCTTTCTTTCTTGCAGAACTGGAGAACTGGAGATTGAACTCAGGCCCTTGTGCTTGCCAGGGAAGCGCTTATTCCACTGAGCCCCTGTATTTTCTTTTTTTAATAAAACTAAATCACTGGTTTAAGGAGTCCCCCACACCTGGCAAATGAGCACCACTTCCATGCCCCATAGCACCCACTGGGTCGGAGACCCTTTCAGGAACACAGGGATACCCAGTGGCCTTGGAAGCAGGTGCTTGGGGCTGAGGCTTGGGTTGAGGCTCCAGGGCCAGTGGCCCAAGCACAGTGACCTAAATTCTAGGATATATATATATATATATATATATATTTTTTTTTTTTTTTTTTTTTTTTTGTGGGCGCTTGGAACCCAATTCAGGACTTCTCACTTGCTGGGCAGGTGCTGAACCACCAAGCTAAATTCCTGGGCCCAAAACTATATAAAATTAAATGTTTTATAGTTAGAACGGTCTTTGTCCTAAAATGATTTTTAATAGCCTTGTTTTGGTCCTATTTGTTTCATGCTTTACATTTTTACATCTAACTTTTATCTAGAACTCATTTTTATGTACAGACCACAAGGAGATCAGTTTAATTTTTCTAAGTCTATTACCAGTTCTTTGAACAACAGTAAGAACAATTGGGGGAGGGGTTACCAGGAATCAAACTCAGGATACTGAACTTGCCAGGCAGGCACTGTGCTATTGAGCTTTATCCATAGCCCAGTAAGATCAAAATTTAAAGAAATTTTTGCTATAAACTTTGAGTTTCAGCCACAGAAAGCTTTCCAGTATAGGATTTACTCTTTTCCTTAAAAAAAAAAAAAATAATAATAATAATAATAACAATGTTCAACTTTTCTGTGAACAACTCAAGCCATCTCCATCAGAGAAGCCTAGTCCAATAAATGACACTAAAACTTCTTTTCAAATACTTATTTATAATTTACTTAATTATGGATTTAAAAAGACAGCACTACTTCAATATTATGCGTGTTCTAAATAAATACGAAACACAGTAGCAGAGGAAAAGAATAATATTCAATTGCTTAAAAACTTTCTAGGGGCCAGGGAGATGGCTCAGTAGAATAAGCACTTCCCTGGCAAGCGCAAGGGCCTGAGTTCAATCCCCAGTTCTGCCAAAAAATAAAAATAAAAAATAAAATAAAATAAATAAGTAAAAACTTTCCAGTACTTACAGTAAGAATGCAAATTCCAATTCTTAGCAGATTAACCACTCCCCTCCCCCAATGCCACAATGGGGCCTTGGAAAAAAGTTTTAAGTCTCCATACCCATTTGATGACTATGAAATGCATTTGTCATGTTTTAAAACTCTTGAAAATGATGTTAGGAATTTTTCAAAAGTAACCTGAAGCAACTTTTATCATTATTATTAAAAATTTTATATTTCATTAACTTATTGGCATTTTAATACATCAAAATATAAGCAAAAGTGAAGCACAAGTGAGATATAAATTTTCTATCTTGCCTGTATAACTTACATCTTTATTATACCACCTGACTTAAGGCAGGAATTTAAGAGATGTTTTAGGTTGACGGTCAAAATATGCAAACTAGGGGACAACCCACTAGGGTGCCCCTTCTGTCCCCTCGGGCAGGGGCCTTCTTCCCCCCAATAAATACGTTCTGCTCTTAACCTCAAAAAAAAAAAAAAAAAAAAAAGCTAACCATTTTTAAAACATTTTAAGGGGCTGGTGAGATGGCTCAGTGGTCTAAGGCACCTACTTAGAACAAACTAAGCTAAACAAAGCACAGGGACCACGGTTCAATCCCCCAGCACCACATGCCAGCCAGCCC